GAGGGAGAACATAGCCCACCTCCATTATCACGAATTAAACATCTTATTTCTTTCATCTATTAGTTGAAAATTGTGCTCTTAGAAAGTTACTGCCACAAGATTGGGAATTTAAACAGGTATTTCAAGAAAGGGCATTCTGGGTAACTCAGAGGGACGGCGCTGCCACAGTATTTCCAAGTTGGCTCTCTAATAACCGTGATTAACCCATCACTGACACGCTCACTATCTGGCCTGATAAACTGTGGGGCCAAGTGTATTTTAGGGTCGCCCTTGCTGAAATCATCCAGGCTTGCTGAGCTTTGGGGAAAGAGGGCAGGCACTCCTCAATCAGGGCTTAAAAAGAGATGGTCTCACAGAGTAGAATCCTCTTCTTTTGCGAAGTGATCCAAAAGCATCTACAGATTCTAATACTACTACCATACTGCCTACTTGAAAGTTGCTAAGAAAGTAAATCTTAAACTCACTTCATCATAAAAAAAGGTCTAACTACATATGGTGATAAATGTTAACTAGACTTCTCATGGTGATCATTCTGCAATATATACAAATATCAAATCATCATCTTGTACACCTAAAGCTAGTGTAACGTTATATGTCAGTTTTACTTCAATTAAGAAAAAAAGGGGGAAGGTATAGCTCAATGGTAGAGTGCATGCCTAGCATGCAAGAGGTTCTGGGTTCAATCCCCAGTACCTCCACTAAACAAACAAATAAACAAACCTAACTACCTTCCTCCTCAATAAAAAACAAAATAAAGAATCCTTAAAAAAAAAAGTGCTCCTGGAGACAGTGTGCACTTAATAAATATCCTTTGAGGTAGGCCCTTAAGGAGCTTGTCTTCCCTCCTTCTTACAGTCAAACTGAGTCTCAAACTAAATTTTCTGTGCCCCCCCGCCCCCCCCAAAACTTCTTACAATCAGAAGGCTGCTTAGTAGAACTCCTTAATCCAATTACTTGATGTCAAGTAATAAATCTAGACTGTTCCCTCCCTCTCCATTAAATCTGGTTTCTCCAGCCACCGAGAACCTGAGAAGCCAGCCCCCTTCCAATTGCTGGAAATCTTTGCCCACTTTCTATCCATCCCTCTGGTTCCTACCCTCCTGCACCTGCCTGTCCCATCTCATCCACCCTCAGAAACCTGGTAGGGACAGCATGGAGGAGACTGAGGCATCAGACTGTGCACTAACTAAATGCCTTTTAAGGTCCCTCTCATTCTGACCTGTGCATCCGCAAAGCACTAAAGTGAGCTCACAAGAGACACTGAAGAGCCAAAATGAACAACTGCCAACAACAAATGTAGAGATCTTACAGACATTTCTCACTCAGCCCAGAGGATACTTATTAGAAACCAGTTACACGTCGGGTACTATGATAAAGCTTTATTTCACAGGAAACACAATTTGAATTCAACTGAGATGCTGCTACTGTCCTTTGATTTCAGAGATCAGAACTTCCTGATTCTAACCATAGTGTCCAAACTTCGAATACTATTAAGACCCATGTTTAGTCCCTCTGGGCTTTCCTGGTCCATTTCTTAGGTCTCTCAGTCCAGCCCTGTGGGTTTTGGTGCCTTTTCTCACAACGTGCTTCCTCCTGTTGCACAGGTGGACAACCAACCCATCCTCCTACCCTCAGCTCAAACATCACGTCCTGCTCAACTTCCTCCCCAAAGGGAATGTTTCTTTGTAAATTTGCTGGCTCCTTTACTGTAGCACTAATTGCATTCTGCTTTGTAATGAAGCTTGTGCTTGTTTCTTGCTCTGGTTACTTGAAAGCAGGGAGCAGAGAGATCACATTTTGTTGTCTGAGCATCTCCAACGCAGTGCATGCACACAGTAGTAACTCTTATTTTTCCATGAATGAAAGAATTAATCTCTCAGGTGCCTTCTAGACTGAAATTTGGTCAAATTCAGCTCCGTGAATGCCTTCAGATTCAAGATCAATGCTGGGCAGAGCAGGAGCAAGGCGGCCAGCTACTTGGAAAGGGCATGAGCGAGGGTCAGTCCAACTCAGCTGATTCCAGCTCTGCCGTTTCCTAGTTAGTGGCCTTGAGAATGTTACAGAAGCTCTTTGAGCCTTTGTTTTTAACCTGTAAAATGGGAATAATCACTGGAGCTGACCTCTAAGGCTACTATGAAGATTACATGAGATAACGTACTACAAGTGCTTAACACAGTTAGAAACATCATCTGCTGACTACCTTTTATGGGCCAGACACCGTAACACCCTGAAGACAAAACAATGAGCAAGATCACATCACTATGTTGAACAAAGGTGATGTGAAGATTGAGAACAGATAGTAAGCTGATAGTTACGAAACAATGGCTGCCACGGAGGTAAGGACCCAAAGCAGTGAGAAAGGGAAGAGGAAAGCCTACATCAGTCTGGGAGTGGGTGCCAGTGTCATACAACTCTTCGGGTCATCTGTTGCTATTTCTCTGCAAACATATTGGATTCAGTACTAAGTTTAAGCAGAACTGAACTTCAGGACAGGCAAGTTCAAGGCTCAGCTGAGTTGACTGGGCCCCAAAATCCCTGCTTGTGTGTTGTATATAACTTGAACACAACAGTGACTGATCCATGGGTAATTTAGGAAGTTTTCAGAAGATATAAAGCACTTATCACAGACAGATGGTAAATTTTATGTTATATTTATTTTGCTGCAATTAAAAAAAAAAGATAAACACCACCAGAAGCTACCTCTGTTTTCACACACAGTGACAGAAGTCACTTGGATTGAACTTCTCTTCCACAAACAAAACCTACCTGACCCTATACATGGCAGACCAGAAACTACAAGGAAATCATATCAGACAGTAAAATTAATGAAAAGATGATATAGTCTGCTTACTTTGACCAAGCTGGGGTCTGTTTTCTACACAGTTAAATTAACCTGGTTTTATAAAATGACATGACTTATTTCAAAGACAGGTCCATAATCTCTCATCTGCAATTCTGAAATCACAAAGCTCTGAAAAATTCAAACTTTTTTCATAAGTTTCATTTAAAAATCTATTTGGTGGCAAAATCTGACCTAGCCCACGTGGGGTCACGTATAATTTTTATTTACCCATTTGGTGTGAATGTTCATGTATTTTGCGGCAGAAATATTACCACACTTGATGACGGTATCGCTCCAGTAACTTCGATATAGGTCATATCATACATAGTAAAAGTATCACACCAAAAAGATCTGAAACTTACAAATTCCAAAACAAATCTGGTCCTAAGATGTTCAAATAAGAGATGGTGGCTATCTATAAAATTAATCGTGTCAGATATTAGGCCAATACTCTCCAAGCCTTTGTCATTCTGTACCAGATACACAATTTTTCCACGTCTACATATCACTCATGTTACTATATTTCCTAGTACTTGTCTTCACACTAACTCATCTTTTTAAATTGAATAAAATTATTTTTTTTACAAGAAATAACTTGTTTCTACTGAAAAAGCTGGTCATCTGAGAGGCTTATTCTCCATTACAAAGGGAGATTGTGAAGGATTCAAGAGGAATTAAAGCTGCAGCAGTTCAAACAGAGACTTTCAACCTTAAATCATCAGAAAGATTAACATAAAATTAAAAGGGAAATACTTACCTTACTATGTCCTATGGTGCTGGGCTGAAGTACCATCTCCAAGATCTTCTGTCCCCAGAAGTACTTATCCTACATTTCAGGAGACGCACCAAGCCTGTGTCATCATCTTGTTACTCAGGTAATGACTCCACTGGGACAGTAAGCATTGTTGGGGTGGGGAGACCAGGCTGTGCTGAAGTGTAATGTAGCAGCAAGGAAGGTAACCCCCTATCTCTCTTCTAGTTCCATCACCCATAACCTGCCTGGGTCACATGCTGCCGCTGTCTACTTATCAAATTAGCCCCCAAATTGTCTTGAATATGACTCTCCAGAGCACCCACAGTGTCTGCTGCCAAAGGACCCCTGAAGATAATTGGATCTAGAACTGAACGTAGACTGACTAGCCCGAACACGACACAGACTAACGGGACCCCTACTCCCTGTATCAACTTCAACAACAGCTACTGTCAAGAACGGCCTTCCAAACCAGCAGAACAAGGTCTATTGTAACAAGAAAACAAGTCAGTTTTCGAAAGTACTTTCAAATAAACATCAGCTATACATATTTTAAAAAATAAAATAAATGGGGCAAAAGGGAAAACTTCCCCTACAGCACAATACTGAGAGTTAAAAATGTTGGGGGTTAGAAAATCTCCATTTTAGAACTATCACAAAATAAAAAAATTAATAACCACACATTGATTTAATGAAGCAATCAAAATTAACATCACCAGTAAGGGGCACACACATCATGAGCCTCTGGATATGATGAATTGAAAATGACACCATATTTCTTCTGGGGTTTATGTGACTCTAATCATCAGAAAACATCAGACAGACCTAAATTGAAGGAGAGTCTCCAAAACATCTGGTCCATGCTTCAGAAATGTCATGAAAGACAAAGAAAGGCTGGAGAACTATTTCAGATTGAAGACACACGTC